TAAGTGTTTCTACTCTGGTTTTTCTCACAGTTCGTCTGCTGACAGTGTGGTGGCTTCCTTGGCCCTGGAAATCCTCCAAGCTGCTCGACACTAGCCAAGAAGGCACTTAGCACAGGCCTGCTCTGCAGCACCAGCCTTTGGCTACACATTCACATCGCCACCCATAGCTCTATTTGGACCTAATAAAGTCAGCTGAACCCAGAACCTTCTGGCTGAGGTGTTCTCACTAATCCTGGGCCCTAGGAAACCCACTCAGAATGGAGTGGTTCCTTCATTCCTGCGGGATGCATCTGGAAACCACAGGTTTGCTAGCTGTTCTGAGAATGTGCTTTCCCTCTGTGGGCTAGGTAGGCCTCCACAAAAGCCTGTGCTAATCAAGGACGCGAGAAGCCACAGTCCTCAGCCTGCGGCATCTGTGAGCCTCTTTCTCCAGAGAAGATTTAAAAGACAGGACTAGGCGTGAATGCTCTCCCAGCCGCAGCTCCAGAGCAAGCCTTTGGAAGCTAGTTTTAGCCTCGCCTTCCTCCCACTTTTACCTTTCAGGGACAAACTGAATCCACGAATCCTGGGGAGGGCTGGGCAAGGCTCCACAAACAGGCAGTGCAGAGTTTGCCTAAAGGATGCAAAACACTTGAGGAACCCTGGCTTCCTTGAAAGTCTGCCCATCTAGGTGCTGTGATGGGGGGGAGGGGTTCTACTTTGATGCCAACTCCTGCCAATTACCCCCTTATCCTTAGAACCTTTTCAGCTTCTTCCCATGTTCCGTCACACATATGCCCTTAAACCTCCTATGTATGTAAGAAGCCCATGGAAATATTTGGTGGACACTGCAGAAAGGTGCTGGGACTGTGATGCTGAGGAAGGCTTACTCTTGAATGTGGCCTGGAAGGTAGGGGTGGGTCCTGGGCAGCTCGAACCACGTGAGCAAGTTGAGGCCCTTCCTTAGCCTCTCTGGGGCCCGTATCCCCATCTGTAAAAGGAAAGGGCATGCAGGCTGAGTGGGCGGGATAAGCACCAGGGGGCGCGCATAGGTGGCCCCATTTATTGCATCACAGGAAGCTGGTCACGTCGTCACCAACAGCCCCACCTTGCCACCGTGGTCCGGGTAGCTTGCCAGCCTCCATGCGGTTAGTACTGAAAACAGCAGTTCTCTGTGTCCAACTCCATCAGGAGCCTAGGTGTTACCTTACTCGCCACCACAGCCAACAAAGAAGGCCGCCTTAGTTTCATTTCCTGAGAGAAAACAGGCTCAGAGGGGGCAGTCCGGCTGCCCAAGGCCCCAGAGTCTGGTTGAAATAAGGACCTGACTCCACAGCCTTTGTGTGCCCCGCAGCGGGGTACCCAGAGCTCAAGCTGGGAGAGGTTACGGCACAAGAGTGGCCCACGCAGTCTCCTTCCATGTCTCCTAGCCTACTCGCCGCCCATGGTGAGGACGCTCCATGCCCCACTCATTTTGCCTGTGGTCCTGGGGTGGGGGAGAAGCCGGAGGCCTGGCCCTCAGCTCCAGTCGCCTTGTTGGCTGGGTCCAGAGAACAGGCAAGGGTCTCCCTATTTTCCCAGGAAATAAATCTGTTCTCTCCCTTCAGTTCTTGGGAGAACTGCCCTGGAGTTCTGTGCCTGGAGTCTTCCCAGAAGGTATTTCAGAGCACTGGAAGATTCTGCTTTACCCTTTCTAGTTAGGGGCACGGAGTCGTCTTTGCTGCTTGAGGTAAAACAGAAAAATTTTAACATTCCAGAATGGTTTTGTTGAATGGACCCTTCTTGGCCCGGAGCCCCTCGGCATTGCCTTTTTCAGGAAAAGCTATCTGAGTAGGCAAGGGACAAGCAGGGTGCTAGGGCACTGAGGCTAGCCCAGGCCAGGCTTCACAGGGACGTGAGGCTGTCAACCTGGAGTTAGGGGATCCTTTTTATTCTCGTAAAGGCGCCAAGTGTAAAGGAGCAGCCCTGGCCCCACTGAGATCGGGCATAGGGTACACGAACAGGCCTGGCTGGGTGGGCAGCAGGAGGCCTAACCCTTCCCCATGTGAGGCCCATACCCTCCTATTTGGCTTCCCAGGCTGGCTCCAGTTCTAAGAGAACTGGCCCCTGGCTCCTGGCCCATTAGAGCTCTCAGGATTCTGGCAGTGGCATGGGGCCCAGAAGGCACCTACTGGCCCTCATTCCCCCACTTTCGTGCTTCAGCTATTTGCTCTTTAACTGGCTACGACCATCAGGTGAGCCTCTTCAGGGACAAATGGGGTCACAAGTTGCAGAGCAGACTGGGGAGCAGGAGATGACCAGGTGAATGGCTGCACAGAATTACCTTTCCCTCCGTGAACAGCAGGCCCAAAACTTCAAGACCTTGCCTTAACTTACAGCCTGAGAGCAGGTGCCCAGGGGAGGGGTCTGTCCCTCTGAAGAGCCACACCCTGGCCACAGGTCTCCTGAGAGGAGAGGACAATCATCGGGGCAGCTAAGCTGTGGGTCTGTAGGATGCAGAAACAGAATTTTCTCTTACAGTTCTCTGAACTCGTCTAGCTCTTCATGGTTCCCCTATTACCCTGAGGCTTTTCAAGATTATCTCACGAGGTTCTCAGGTCAATTCTGTGACTGCACACAGGCTTTATCCCTGTGACACAGCTCAGAAAGCGGGACCTCTGGGGGCTAAGGCTCTTGGCTTGAAGCAAGATTCCTTTTCTCCCTCCCCTGGTGACAGAAAAGTATGGTGGCAGAATCCATGGATTTATGCAGGAGCTGAGGTAGGAGATTCAGGAAGGAACTGGTAGGGAAGTAGGGCGGGCGGAAACAAGACCAGACAAAGTTTAGGAGGCCGTGAAAGCCTCAAGCTTCAGTGGGGCTGAGAAGGGAAGTACAGGGATGAGAAGCAAGAAGTCACAGCTCAGAATGAGGACCAGGGAGGTATGGAGTCCTGATGTGAAGGAAGGCTGGTCTTTTAAATCCTGTTTTAGGGCCCTTACTGTAGAGGCAGTAAGGGCAGCCTGTCACCTGCCTCTAGCTCACTCGTGGGGTGGGCAGGGGCAGGGGACTCCCCCCCAGCACGCTGACGGAGGAGGAAAAGGAAGCACCATCTTCCCAGCCTTGCCCCTCACTCTGCCATTGCATCTGGTGGGTGGTTCACTCAAGGCAAGGTAAGGCCATTTTAATAAATTCTTACCTATTAGAACAAAATAACTGCAATCAACTGGGCACTCTCCACTTTATAAACCAAACAGCATGATTCAGACCTGTTTTTATTACAGAAATCAAAAATTAAAAAGCATATTTAAAATCTTTCACTTTCAAAGATTCAAATAATCAGATTGAAGCCTCATGTCTAGAACATCTGCTCCACCATGGAAAAGAGCTGCATTCTTCAGCTTAGTGGCGGTCACTGCAATGGGATCAAATGTCGTAGGCGCCCCCCTATCCCCAGGTAACCACTATTGTGATTTCTGTAGAAATCCAATCACCTCCTTGCTTTTGTTTTTACCATCCGTGGGTGATGCCCTCCAAAAAGTTTGCCCTTTTAGTCAATCAATCAGTGAGGTCCTACAGCATGCATTTGTAACTTGCTTTCGGTCAGTCCTGTTTGTTTGAGGTATCCACACACGGCCGTGTGAAGCCGTAGCTCTCTACCGCAGGACGGCTGTTCTCTAGTATGAATACAGTGGTTATCGGATACATGGGCTGTTGCGCAGTGCTCTCCCAAGCCATAATTAATAATGGAGTTCGAGGCAAAAGAAAAATCATTAGTACCGACCTTACTTGTCTTTAAAATCTTGGTATTTTGGGGGTCATGGATTTTTTTTTTTTACCCCTGCATTTTCATTTTTTCCACCCCTGCATTTTCATTTTTTCCAAATGGCTACCAATTGTTCCATACCTTACTAAGAAGTCCCTCTCTTCACACTGACCTCCAGTGCTACCTCTAAAGTACTATGCCCACATCTTCCACAGCTGTCTTTGTGCCAACAACTGCTAACTCCCTCTACCCTTTTAGTTAGGTCCTGACCTAACTAGAGCAAGTCTTCCCCCCTCATTCTTCCCAAGTGTCTTGGCTATTCTTGGTGCTTTGTATTACTACTTGCAGAACCACCTTGCTGAATCAGATTAACTTTACATTTTTAAGTGGAACTTCAAAACTATAATGATTTTCGGCAAAGCTCTGAAAATGTTTTCTGATTTTAAGAAGTTCTTTAAACGAAACACCCTGCTGTGGTACCTTGTGTGAAGCTTCCCGTGATACTGGCATGATTCTGTCATGCACTGGAAGGAACCTGAAACCATCCACCGCCCCAGGTGCAGGGTCTCCTCTCCGATCCCCATTTACACTTCAGACCACAGTGGCTTTCACAAAACTTCAGCCAAAAGGAAGTGAACATGTTTATCTAACAGTCACGATCTTAATCAAATAAAAATACCCGGTAACTCAAACAGCTCTCCCTAAGCACAAAACACTTCCACTCTTTCTAAAGACCAAAACACAAGTCTTAGCAGGTCTACTGACTGCCCTGAGGTATGAACGAAGGCTGTCAGACCTACCGCCAGGATGACAGGATTACCTGGCAGACAGGTGGAAGAAGGCTCCATTCTGGTCTGATTATGTCCACGATAAACATCAACACTTTTAAACCATCTTAATTTTCAGTTCAAAGGGGAGTTGAAGGAATTCCCCTCTCCGTTATGTGAAGGTGCTTGAAATCCAAATCCAGGTAGCTAGTTTTTCATTATTACCTTAATAGAAAGGATCCATCTGATGGTGTCTGGAGTGGGGGAAGCCTATATGGCTTTCAGTCTGGTTCCATGTAGCCCAAAGATGACATGCCTTTGAATTGAGGTTTCTGGTGCAACTTAACCCAGGACCCACTGTCAAAGAAACTTGGCAAACAATCCCATCTGGATGTAAGGCGCTCGCTCTCATTACAACTTCAATTATACCACTGTGTGTGTTTTCCTCAGGATGAAGCTGAATAAACTATCCTCACAAGCCAGTTAATGACAAGGAGAAAAAGGTGACACAATCGAATGAATTAAAAGTTTAATTCTGAACCATTTTTATAACCGCATTTTCTCTTGAAGCATCGTATCACAGCAGGTTACAACAACTTTGGGATAAAAGGCAAATGGTAAACTGTCCAAAACAAGGTTCCAAATAACACCTCTTACTGATTTACCCTACCCATACATATCCCAAATAAAGTTTTTGATCAAAAACATGAAATAGATTCACCTGCTTATTATTTTAAGCATATTAAAAAGGAAACTAATTGGACCATTTCTATTTGTCTATTTTATACAAAAAGGCTACACAATGTTACACTTTATTCAGATTACAATTAGAGTGATTATGAATTAGTGTTCTACACCATTACTCAATTCTTAAAAATTAGAAATTGCTGTAGCAGTATTCACTATAACTTAACACTACGAGAGACTTAAAAAACTAACAGTTACTGCAAAAAAAATTAAAGAGCTACTTCAAAGCAAGCAAAGTCAGTACCATTACAGATATTTAAAAAAAAAATTTAACAAGCAAGGCTAGAGTTTGATAAATTCCATATCTTGTGATCCATTCTTGTGCATTCTTCACTTCTTGAGTCACTCCCAAAATCCATTTGTATTGTTACTCCTCGACCAAAAAGGACCAGAACAAAAAGTTTACTTCAATTGTTCCCATAGGAAACTCAGCTTGGTTAGTGTGTCAGGCACTTTCTGAGATACCAGCCCACCCCTCGAGCCCTCTCAGCAACTCTACAGGCCAATCACAATGCAAGTTCAGACAATACAGCTGTATAAAGAGAGAAAGGCTGCTATTAATGTTTAAAACAGCAAATGTTACTCATTTGAGTATTAAGTTGCAAAAGCTGTGGCAAAAAACATTTAAAGTTAATAACTTCCACACATGACCACTTAACCAGAAATCTGAGAACAGTCAAATGTTCTAAGACATCTCCTTTCAAAGTATGTATCTGTTTTGGTGGCAGATTTACAAATAGGCCTAAACCACTCCCACCCTACCAACCAAGTCTCTCTGAAGTTCTGTAGGCAGAGTAAAAGTATTTTACCCAAACTGGTTTTTTTTAACTTCTTACCTAAAGGATGATTTACAGGTCAGTATCAAACCAGGCCAGCTGATTGCTGTCGCCTGGAGGCAGCCCATCCATGAGGTCCTGGGCATGCCCCAGATCTGGCAGCCCATCAACTGGATAGTCAGCACCAGGGTGGTGGCCACCCATCTCATGCTCCATCATGGGGTCCATACCCAAGGCATCCTGGCCATATCCACCCGAGTGAAAAGAACGATAGCTGGGATCTAGAGTAGTCAGGGTGGAAACAAAAGGAGCAAGGGAAAGAGGAAAAGAGGAGAAAGACGTTAAAGTTAACGCTAAGGCGCGGGCCTTCAATGGCAGCGAACTTGTCTCAGAAAGCAGGCCTTTCTAGCCTGTTCAACTTCTAGCTTTCTTCAACCAAGTAATTACTCACTGCCAGGCCACCCACAAGGCTATATACAAAGTCTGTTTCCAGGAGAGGCAGACCAGCAGGTTCTAACCACACCATCCGTTTACCACCGAACATTTTGTGTTTGCTTCAGTAGAGACATAAAATCCCTGAGGAGGGGCAGCAAGCAATCTACTGTGTGTATGACCGCCCAGGCATCAACAAGTCATGGGCAAGAGATGAAAGCAAAAGCAAGGCGGTCTGGCGGATGTAATCTATCCGCTGCAGAGTCCAGTAATACAAAGGAACTGAGAAAATTCAAGCTGCTGTTTCCAATGAAACCTTTACGTTAAGGGTTGACATTTAGATCTCTGTCACATAAGACGCCTATGAGCTTCAGTGGTTTAATACTTAGGAAAACCCAGATGAGATGATAAACATAAGGTGAATAGCTGTATCTGTTCACGGTCTACCCCATGCTCCATCTCCATTACCCAGATTTGAACAAGCTTTTCGGAATACCCTGGTAATAGAACTGGGCAGATGCACCCCAGATCTGAGCTTGGAGCCAGAGCTCCCCACATTCTTACGTCCTGGGCGGGTTGCAGACCCAGAGATTACAGGTTCTCTGACCAAAAAAGGGACTACACAGGCAACCTGTCATGTTCTGCACTGCAGAGGCTCAGGACTCGGGACACCTATTTGTTGGTGGGATCCTGCCGCCTGCTCAGTGTGAGGCTCCTAATTCCCTCGGCTCCACGAGAGCTCCTGCTGCTGACTCTGGCATTTCAGAAGTGCCTTTAACTGCTGCCCCTACTTCCCTGCCAACACCGGTTTCCCAGATGAGCAAAGCAGCTCTTCTGATAAAGCTCTGGAACCTTAGCTTGACCGGGAGTTAATCGAGAAATCTGAGACACATACCATCCTGGCGATATCCAAGGGGTTCTCCCTGGGCACCGATATCAAGTCCAAGATCAGCAGTCTAGATAAACAGGTACAAGGCAAAGAAGCAAAATAAAAACGAAAATTCTCAAGTATACTCTCTAATATTCTGAAAACATACTTATTTTCAGGTAATAGAAGGAACAAAGAACTCACAGAAATACTTCAAACTCCACCCCTCAAAGATTCACTCCTGATAAGTAGAGCCACATGTTTGTCACTACACACAGTATTAAAAATATTCACTAATTTACGCTTTCAGCAAATAGAACAGTCAACAAAATAGGCAAAGTGAGGTGCTGACAAACAGGGTATGACCTATGAAAGATTTTTAGCCCAAGCAGATGGAAAGGGGAAGACTAGGAGAGGAACAGGTTTGGGGAAGTTCATGGCCCATGTTGGAACATGTTAAGACTGCCCATTAAAACCCAACTAACATATTACTCACAATTTGGCAATATGCTTTTCTTTTTCACCTAACAATCTACAGGATCTCTTTCCATTCATATAATCCACTGTATGACTATGTAGTATAACTGAATGAACTTTCAGGGTGGTTCTACTGTTTCAAGAACAATTCTGTACTAAGGATAAATACTGAAGACAAATTCACAGAAATTCAAATAGAAAAGTAGATGAAAAATTGAAAATTTAAACAGTATCAATAAATTGACCTCCAACTGAAAGTGTTTAATAGAGTGTGCCTCTTTCCTTAAAAGGAAAAATATTCCCTTTTGGAAAAACATCCCTTTTGAAAAAGATGCTTTAACCTGATAACTTTTTCACCCATCTCCCTCACGAATTCTAAGTGAAGTAGCATGGTTTGTTCTGAATAGGCTGTTTAAAGTCATGGTTCTTCCTCATAGTGGCTGCTAAGGTAGCAGAAAGGATGAATATTCAAGCCAAGGACACAGTAAATGCAAATAAATGTGTATGAACATTGGAAGGGAAACTGCACACTACTGAATAAACATGTCCACACCGCCTACCTCATTCCAAGCCATTGGCTCTGTTCTGAAGAGAGAACTGGTCAGCTCAACTGAAAGCCGTTTCTTGTAATCCTGTGGCTTGTCCTCAGACATTCGGAACAAAACAGCAGCTGCGTATGTTGCTGGGAGAGGAAAGGAAAAAAGGCCCCTGAGGAAAACCTGAGGCTTTCCTGTATACATCAGCTAAAGGTTCTGGTTCCTCTTCTACTTACCTACACCTTCGTTCCTAGAGTGAAGTAACTCTGTCAGAGGAGCTGTGGCTCCCTCTGCTTCGATGGCTTCCGCAGCCTCCTTGTCCTGAGCAAGTTCACAGAGGACCCCAGCAGCTACTCTTTGGATATTTTCAATGGGAGAATAAAGCAGCTAAGGAGAAAAACACAAAACCTACTTAAATCTAAAGGAAAAACACGGCAAGCACCCCACCGTGCTGCAAACATTCCCAATTCAGAGAGAACGAGGCGTTTGCACTACTTGTAGTAAATCATATTCTCTAACTTCTTAGGTATGTGATGCTCTGGAGCACAGGTTTTCTAGACCACTTTCGGCTACAAACCCGTTCTTCAGTGACAGTTCTAGTTGAGCTCAGATCTGGCAAATCAGGAGGTGGCTGGAGGCCTGAGCTCTGGCAACGAGACCAGCTCTCCTACCTCCAAAACTCAGCACCCCAAAAGTGGAATATGAAGTATTCCTCTTCTTCAGGCTCTAGCCCCAATGTTCCTCCTGCTGCCCAGGGAAAATGAAGGGACTTTTCATAAAGTTAAATGTACTCAACTAAAAGGACACTATACATTCAGATTCCATTTGTCATTCATTGGCAGGGGGCATGAGCAGAGTGTTGTCATTTTATAAATGGAGATAGATGAAAAATTGCCCCTAACTTGGTCCCTAATTTTCTGAAATTCTGCTTATCATTAAAATTCTGAAATTTTATTTATAGACTCATAAAATCTAGAACACCTCACATGAAACCAACATACCTGCACAAACAATGGAATGGTATTTAGTCCTCTGATTACAATTCGGTTGTGAACATCCCGAGCTAGGATATGAAGGGCTCCAGTACAACCTTCAACAATTTCTTCCATACGGACCCCCTCCTACCAAAAGAAACATGGTTAACAAATAGGACATTCTCCTCCCTAAAGTTTATAAACAGAAAGACTTTCTGTTCTGAGTAGCAATTCCTAGACTATTCACATTATACACCCAAAGTTCCCCAGATTTTGCAACTGGTTTAGGAATGAAGGAGGATTCCATGAAGATGAACGTTACGGAGGTGGGGGGCGGGGGGTCATGATGGCACTAATTCCTAGCTGCACGCCCCCCCCCCCCCCCATACTACGCACAGGATATAGAGCTTTGACATACTCTGAATCCCAAAGATAACTTTCTTACAGTCAAGACACCAACCACTTTCGGTAAAAGGAAAATATAAAGATACATAAAGATGGCAAAATAATGCACAGACTGACAAATGCTTTACTTCCATATGCTCCCTCTATTTATTTTTGTATTTCTATGTGTATCAGGTGAAAACCAAGCAAAGGTTTATCACCAACTGCTAAAATTCTATTGAGCTGTCAAGTGGAAGATCCACTCCTCACGGCCTCCAAGACTGTTTGACCAGTGGTCTATATGGGAGAAGGAAGTTAACTTTTGCAAAATGTAGATACTCTCTGCTTTCCCTGTTCCTGAGTTTTAAAAAAGGTAATGATTCTGGTACTTTTAGTGGCTTTTATAAACAACTTGATTTTTATAAAGACACAAATACTCGCTTCTTCCTAGAGAAGGGACTTAAAATAGAAGGTATCTTTTGCATTCTTTTAAGCCACCTCATGGAGACAGGCCAATACCAAGAATAACGAATGGAGAAAGCTGAGGCCCTATCATGAGTAAGTACATGTAACAACTAGCAAGAAGAGATGCCCCAAATCTGTTCTGGTAGGCTCTTATTTTTCTAAAGTAACCTAATTCAATAAGAGAAGACTCTCTGAAGATCTGAATCTTCAAAAATAAATTGTGAGGAATAAATTCTAAAGTGTCTTTAGATACTTACAATGAAGCTAGTTTTTGAAGATTTCAAACCTAACATCAAAGCTTTAGGCTGAGATTATGGGTAAAGATTCCAGAAATGCTACTACTTATTCTTGAAATTTGTTAGTATTCCTAGGTCTGTGAAAAAGGTTTAAACCATTCCTGGAAGAGACACTAAACTAAGTGTGTTAACATACTTACAAGCAAAACTCATGTTCTAATGGGGAATAAGGGCTCTGAAATCAGACTTGGATTCAAATTATGGTTCTATTACTTTCGAAGAAGGTGAACCTCTGTATGGATTAAATGAAAACACTGTATAAAGTGCCTAATCCCACAGCAGTACATCACACCCATGCTCTCTTTGTAAGACTGATGATGCAATGGAGAGGTCAAAGGCAACATCACTAGGAGCCACATTATTCCTTATCTTTTCCACAGCCACAGAAACATGTCAGTTTTGTTTTTTTTTTTAAACCATTAGCAAACAGCCCTACAGGCAAGAAGATGGAAGGAACCAATGACCAAAGAAGTTCAGGATCCTATGAACTTATGCATTCCTTTTAAATAGCCAGGTGTCACTATTCAGATTTACCTACCACAAACTGCTGCTGTGTTCCGCCCATAGATGTACGGCGCTGGGTATCCTGATGGGCACGAACCAACAACTGAACTAGTCGCGGAATGGCACCCTGCTCACGCAAAGGTGCATGATTTGCTGGACAAAGGGCAAGATTTCGAATCAATCCAACAGTAGCCTGTAGATGAAAAGGAAGAATAAAAAATGGGCATGTAACTCAACAAAATCATCTTCTGAGCCTAAAATTCCCACCACACTAAATCTATTGGTGTCACCTGAAAGTAGCTCAGACTTCACAAATACTTTGGGACCCCACCCTAGCCATACTTCCTATTTACTAAGGAATATGACTCGTACTTATCAATCCCTTATGCCTAGACAGCCATCCAATAGCTAGAGGTGGTTCATTTTCAATTCTGCAGCCTTCTATTTTGATTGAGTTTACCTTTATCAGAGGCCAGTGAGATGGTGGGTGCAGGAGTTTAACCACAACTGGTAGTCCATAGTGAAGGCGAACAGCATTCTGGGCCATCTCTGCTTCCTGGTGTCGGCTGGTCAGATGACGAAGAGCACAGATGGCAGGCTCAGTAATGTCCTCCCTGTCACCAGCACGAAGGACAGTACGCACAAGCGCCTCTATACCACCCACTTGGCAGACCATCATCTTGTTCTTATAATTATTGCAAGTGAGATTAGAAAGAATTCCAGCTGCACAGGTGACCACATTTATATCATCTGAGCCCAGAAGCTGAACAAGGGTCCCAAGAAGCCCTTCCATCCCTTCCTATGGACATAAAAACAAATGCTCAGTACATATGCATCTTACTTAATTCTGTCACCAAGGCACTGGCATACTCAAAATTTACCTGTTTAGTTGCAGCATCTGATAGATTCCTAAGAGTCCAAAGACAATTCTGAACAAGACGTTGACTTGGATCTGTCAGGTGAAGCCCTAAAGCTTGCATTCCACCTAGAATGTGAAAAAGATCTCAGGTAATGGCCATTAGCTGGCAATTCCTATCAGCACTGTCTTTTCTAGGCTTAGAGAGTGTCCCTCTTCATTGCCAAAGCTTATCCCCTCCATCTAAGTCCTTTCTTTTCATTTGCTAGGATGTTGCTCAGTTCCCCTTTCTCTTCCGATTCACCTCAACTAGTGACAACTTCTGTCGAGTATCTATTGTTCCTTCCCTATGTGGAAAAAGCCTTCATTATCTCCACTGTCCTCCTTAGGTGGTATTTGTATTGTTTATTTCCTTTCATCCATTCAATCATCTCAAAAATATTCACCCAATATCAGGCCCTGTTTTGAGTTGGAGCTGTTACCGTGAGCAAAATACTCTAAGGTCCCTACTCTCATAGAGCTCATAGTCTAGGTAGAGGCAGACAACAAATACGCAGTTAATAAACTGAAACTACATAGTACGTCAGATGGTGTTAAGTGCTATGGAAAAAAATAACACAAGATGGTGGGGGCTACAATTTCAAGTAGTGTAATCAGGTCACCTCAGTGTGAAAGTGACATCTGAGCAAAGACCTGAAGGAGCTACGGGAGACCAATTCAAAAAGGCACTGGAACGCTTATTACCAGGAATCGTATGAAAGGTACTGACTCCAAAAACATGTGCCCCAAAGGTTCGCAACCTTTCACCATTTAGGAGCCTAAGGAAGGACATTTATACTGATGGAGAAGTCTAAATGGAAGCTCAGTTCCCCACCTAGTGGCCTAACTTCACCCATCTCTCTCCTACTGAAGTCACTTCTGAATGTAGTGAGATACTTTCCCTCGTCTCCTTGTTCATCTTTTCAGGTCTGTTTTATTTTTCATATTTTATTATTTTTTTAAATCATAGGTAGGCTCCACACCCAATGTGGGGCTTGAACTCACGAGCCTGGAGATCAAGAGTCGCATGCTCTGAGCCAGCCAGGTGCCCCTTTTCAGGTCTGTTTTAAAATTAAGTCTACTTCCTCTAGAGGACAAGGATCGTCACTATCTGGTTCCTTCCTCATAGCAGCTCCAGCTACTAACAGAGTGACCTGCAAAAGGCTGATGCTCAATATCTGTTAAATGACTAGATTCCCCTCTACCTTCGTTCCCTCACAGATTTCATTCCCTCCCTTTACTCTTCACTCTAAACTCTTCACTCTAACAGGGTGGATTCTCAATTGCAAATGTCCCATCAGAACAGCCTGTAGACTTTAAAAACACACACTGTATTCAGCAGGTCTAAGGGAAGAGTCCCATGCAGATGCCCCCTGAGGCACACACCCCCTTCCCTCCTACAGTGACAGGTCAACTCCCAAATCTCTAGCCCAGTCTTCCCCTGCATTTTGGTACCATACGTTTCCACCTACCTACCGCCATTTTAGTCACTCAATATGTCAGCTTCTTAAATTATCTTGTTCCAAATCTTAATTAACCCATTCTGGTAGTTCCCTTCATCTTAATGGTACCAATGTTCTCCCCACCACAAACCACTTCTGGTTCTACCTTTAACCCCTAAGTTATTATATTCTATGGGTTCTTTCAGAAACCTCAAAACAGTCATCCTTTGCGGTGTATTTTTGATACCAAACTGTTTCATTCCTAGAAGCCTGTAACACAGGTCGGTGGCCTGGTCTGCTTGCCTTTGGTCATTCAAACTGTCACACATGGTTAGTATTAACATTCCAAACACAGCACTGTGATGCTGTGCCACTGCTTAATAACCGTTAGTAAGTTCTCATTTTCTGTAAGACAAAGGCCAAATTCTTTAGCATAACCTTAAGGAACCCTTTAGAATTTGGATCCCACCTAGCATTGCAAACTGAACTAAATATTCTACATCTGTGGTTCTAAAGCTGGAAAAAAAGCATAAATGAACATCTTAAGGCCTAGAAAGTCCTGTAAGATATGGGCCCTTACCTAGACCCCCAACCTCATTCTGGGCTACTCACCAATTACTCATTAAATTCTAGTTACACACACTTCCTCTTTAGCACTTAGAGATCAACAATCTCTTTCTTACCTTTAGGACATAGCACATGTTTCTTTTCCCTCCCTGGAAGGCATCTAATCCCCACTTCTCATATAGCTAACAGATGCCTTCTCATCCTGCAATCCCATTTTATGTCCCCTTCCCAGGGAAGCTCTTCCCTCCCAATTACTTCTGTATCAGCGTTTGCTGTTCCTTTCTCCCTGACACAGAAGTCGTTCTAAGTTGTAATGCCCCCCGTCTTTTGCATGTTTTTGTCACCCTCACCAGAATGGAAGAATATAGGGACCATATCTGCTTGGTTATCCAGTGTATACCACATGCTTATTCTAGTGCAGGTGCTCAATGTTTTCAGAACACACAAATGAACATCAGAATAACCTGGCTAACTTCTTAAAATGGAAGATGCCTAGGTCTCCAGTCCCATACACATTTCTAGCTACCTACTGACCTTGTCACTTCACTCCAAGGATTCTGATTAAGTCCAAAAATCTGCATTTTTTGCAAGCACTCCTCGTATTTCTGGAATAGCTGGCAGAATTTCATTCCCTTGCTGAATATGAACGCAGCCACACCTGTCCATCCCAGTGCCAGCCGCCATCCTGGGTAATCATAATGCCCCTCCCACAAATTCTCAAGTAAAATTACTCTCAACAAGTGAGAAAAACAGGTGTTACCAACCCTACACTTTACTCCCAACATTTTCTTCTAGTACATGCTTTCATATTTTCCCTCTTCCAGTTGTGATATGAAGATTGGTTTAAGAGTCCAGGTAGGGGCGCCTGGGTGGCTCAGTTGGTTAGGCGACTGCCTTCGGCTCAGGTCATGATCCTGGAGTCCCGGGATCGAGTCCCGCATCAGGCTCCCTGCTTGGCAGGGAGCCTGCTTCTCCCTCTGACCCTCCCCCTTCTCATGTGCTCTCTCTCATTCTCTCTCTCTCAAATAAATAAATAAAATCTTTAAAAAAAAAAAAAGAGTCCAGGTAGATACTGTTAAGTGGGTTACAGAAAGGAGAACTGATGCTAGGTAGCTGAAGAGTAACTGTATCCTCATGATAAAAAAACAAAAAGCCCTGGTTGGTCCACCTATTCCTTTCCTCTGCAACCAACATGCACACAATATAAACTACCACGTATCAGCCATCATTTTTGATGGGTAATAAGAACTCTGCCTAAACTAGGCTTAAACAGCACCAGTGCAGGTGTCAAACAGGACTTATACTTTGAATGTGATCTTGGCTACAAACTGGTTCTATTCAATTTCAGCCCATTAATAGGTCAAGTTGTATTACCCTTTTCCTAAGACAAGTAATCTAATTAGAACTGCAAGATGCTGTACACATGACACTCAGAATACTTACCTGCTTCTACAATAGCTGGTTTATTACTAGAGCAGACAGACAGCACCTTCAGTACCCTGCTCGTGGTCCACAGTAGTTTCTCATAAGTGTAGGTCCTCATTATATTTACTAAAGCTTGAGGTCCACCACTAGCCAGAATGATCAGCTAAAAAGACATGTATATATATATATATATATATCATTAGTCATGGAATCTTCACCATATGCCCAAGAAAAGCCACATTACCAACCTATTTTATTATACAAGCATTTCAGCCAGCTTGCCATTGACCTAAATGTATTCCTGGACCCATTACCCAGATCCCCATACTGGAGCCCTGTTTAACTCCTCCTCCTACAGCATTCCACTCAAATTCAGGAATCCCAGTACTCCCAAGAATATACCAACTGTGCCCCAATTTTCTTCCTCCCCCACTGATCACAGCAAAAGAAACAAACAGAAACCATGTTGGTATGTAACAGTAAGGCCCAGATAATGATGCTGTATCAAAGTGGATTTGTTGAAAATCTGAACCAGAACAGGCACTTAGAACTCCTAATGATTTGGCTCTTGGCTTTTCCTAATCGTTATTCACCTACTTAAAATGATGAATCACAAAATAGTCATTCATTCTTGTCCTTTACTTCCCTGTATACCCCCACCTCCAAACTATCCTGATTTTCTAAAAACAAATCTCATCACTTCATGCTCTGCTGATACTGAACTGCTTTCCATTATTCTTTGAACATATTCTACAAGGCCCTGCGGGACCTGCCCTGCTGGATATCTCAATAGTCTCAAACCTTTACTCTTCATAAACTCATCCCTCTCCTCCCTCAGTAGGACTTTCAAAGGTGTCACTTCCTCTCTCTGACCTTCACCTAATCAGTCTCTCCTCATCCTTGAGAGCTGAACTCAACTATCACTTCCTCCCACAGGTCTCCCTGAACCTTCCAAACAGGATCTGGTTCACATATATGCTCTCATAGCCCCTCTACTTCCTTGGAATAAATGGATTAAATAATAATTAGATTATTATCTCGGTGCCTATCACCCACCTAAGAATGAAAGCTCTAAGTTTGCCCACTATATCCCTATCACCTAGCTTCATACAAACAGACAAATATTTAAAGAAAATAGATGTCCAACTTTTTTTTCTAGGATATACACAAAGGATGAAGCATACAAAGAATGTGCAAGAGTCCACAGAAGGACATGACACTGGATTCCCGGACGCTCCATGAACCACATTCAGAACAATTCCTTTACCTTGCTTTCTTGATTGCCATAAGCTAAAATCTGAAGGCAGTCTGTTGTAATAGCCAAGAATTTAACATTTGTTTTGTTGAGCAAGGCAACCATTTTCTGCAGCCCACCGGCTAAACGCACTGCCATTTTAGCTCCTTCTTGATGCAATAAAAGGTTGTGGAGAGTTGTAATGGCATAAAATAATACAGAATCCACCGGTGAACTGGGAAGAAGAAAAAAGCCTCGTCAGAAATGCTGTGATGGCACTCTTCGCCTTCCTAGCTTCAAGCATTCTGACCATGTTTTCTTACCCAAGCATCTTCACCAGGGCAGGAATGCCCCCAGACTTAAAGATGGCCAGCAAGCCCTCACGATGATGAGAAAGATTGTGCAAGGTCCCAGCAGTACAGCGAGCCGTTTCCACATCATTTGTATTCTGCATGGTGCGTACAATAGCAGACACCATCTGAGGAGAACGCATGATGGCGTGTCTGGAAGCTTCCTTTTTAGAAAGCTGATGGACCATAACTGCAGCCTTATTAACCACCACCTATAATGTACAGGAATTAAAAGACAGCATTAGTTTTCAAACACTGATATTGGGTAGACATTCTGAGGCTCCTTCCTTGAAAGTTTCCTTCAAAACAGATTAAAAGCTAGCTGTATCGTTACTTACCTGGTCCTCATCGTTTAGCAGTTTTGTCAGTTCAGGGATTGCACGTGTGGCAAGTTCTGCATCATCTTGATAGTTAATCAAATTTACAACTGCATGTTTCAGCATCTGTGATGGTTCAGCCAAACGCTGGACATTAGTAGGATGAGCGGCATCAAACTGTGTAGATGGGATCTGCATGCCCTCATCTAAGGTCTCAGGGAACATAGCAGCTCGCACCCTCTGAGCTCGTGTCATCGCATACTGACCGTCAATATCTGGAAAAGATAATCAGAACTCACTATCCATAATTCAGCATTCACCTGAATTTGTGCTACCCTAAGTGGTAAGGTAGTATCACAATCACTCCCCTCTCTTTACCACATCATTTTATTTAAGCGATTACACGCTAACTTTTTTAAGAATCATTCTCAAAATTGACTTCTGACTCAGTATACTAAGGCAATAACACTCTTACCAGCTACTTGTTCTTGAGTGAAGGACTGAGAAAAGCCCTGTTCCCACTCGTACAGGACTTGGGTGGTATCCACATCCTCTTCCTCGGGATTGCCTTTACCACTCAGAGAAGGAGCTGTGGTAGTGGCACCAGAATGGATTCCAGAGTCCAGGTAAGACTGTTGCTGCCAGTGACTAACAGCCGCTTTTCTGTCTGGCTCCATGGCCATATCCAGCTCCATCAAATCAGCTATAAAAATCAAACAGCATTAGCATTACTACTACGGAAATGTTATCTTCACTTTAAAAATCTGTGATATGACGACCCACTGAAATACTGTTAGGAATAGTCAAATCTGAAAGACAGCCAAGAATAACAATAGCCAGTATTAGCTCAGTGATGAAATATCTACACTCTTAGGGGACCACCTAACAGTTACTCACTGAATTAGTGGAAGAATGGTACTGCATCCAGGCTCCAGAAGCAGTCATCCAGACTAGATTCCTGCTGGTGGCTTGTTTGCTATTTCACCAAGCCATTAGGAGGAGTGAGCAGAAAATGGAGCAAAAGGTAGCCTGACAAGTAAGCAGGGAGAGTAAAGCAGGGGGATCTGAGCCAGACTGGGTTAATGGCAATGAAGCAGAGCCCCGATTCAGTAACTGAAGACTTATGATACAAACCTTGGGTAGCCATTGCCCACACAGGATTTTCAAAACCGTTGTATGGTGTGCTTCAGATACCCTAAAAGAGTTAATCAAGTCATTAGGATTTAAAATTAAGTTTGTTTTCAGTACTTTTCAGTCCCTAGGATGGCCTGCTAAACATCATGGACGATATCCATGAAAAGCCCCAAATCCCCTTTTATCATGTGAGACTGAAACCCAGACTCTGGAGTCTCCTCCGCAACACTCAACCACAGCTCCACCACTGCTGAACCTCAAAGTAAAAATTCCTCATTAACAAGCACCTCTTTTTAAGTAGAAATACAAATTACAGTTATTCAGGAGGTCAGAAAGCATAATTACTGTAGGTAAAGAAAATTTATAGTGAAAGCCAAAGTGGAGGAAAAAAACTATTCAAAATCAACTCCTCCTTGAGTTCCCAAAAGGCCTCTCTCCCTTTTTAACTTCTTTCACTGAAAAATTCTGGACAGTGGAATTGGACATGGGGGAAAAAAAAAAAAAAACCCACACCAGATTTTCATTAAATGGTTTTTCTTTCCTGATACAATGCCATCTAAAATGCCTTCACTTAATCTTTTACTAAGAAGTAAAATTACTTTTCAACTGCAAGTCTGCAACACTTGTAGTAAAAAATTTTACTTTTTAGTAAAATTTTTCTAGCTCAAATTTATAGCAATGATGTATTATAAATATAAGTATTACTGACTAATGCTGTTTTGATTATAAAAAGCTTAATCACTCATATGTATAATTACACATATATTTATATATATAAATCTTAGCACCTATGCTTGCATTTTGGCTTTATTGTGTAATAGTCAGAATACTGAATCACATGGGAAACTACCTGCAAATGAGAATTGTTTAAAGGCTCATGGCCACTAGACATTCCTAATAACAAAATTTCCTTTATCACAAAGTATTCCCCTAAACAAGTTTATCTTGCACTACAAATTACATATTGGCTTACCAATATGTAAAGATAGGGACTAAAATATTTAAGTGTGAAGTGTGAATTCTATCAATGTAAAAAGGAGTCTAAAGTTGGAAACTACACTCTCAAGTCCTATTTGCTCGAATGTAAAGAAAGCATGTATTAATTATTCCTGAAATTGCTCTTCCAGTACTAGATTTTTATAACCACAAAGATCACTTGACACGTAAAGATGACAAGAGTGGTGGATACAATTGTTTTAGTGTCCACAGTACAAACTGACAATTTTTGTACACAGCAAAATGAAGGACAGAAAATAATAAAGGTGGTTCCTCTCAATAAGAATCTTTTAAGATACCAAGCAGGATTATGTGTTTAATGTTTTGACTGGGAGTGGGGCATAGAAACCTGAATTTTTAATGAACATTCTAGGATGCACAAATGATCTGCAGACCACACTTTGAGAAATACCCAAGTTCTCTATTCACCGATGCTGCATTTTAGCTTTTATTTTTCCAACTCTCTGGAAACTGAGTTCCCCACTCCAGCTCCCAGTATACTTCCGGGAAAGGCGACCTAAAACATGTCCTACATTAGGCTCCTCCTTTGGCCAATGAATGCCACAGGGTTCAGAAACCAACTAGTCAGTATAATATACATAAATAATATTTGTTAATCAACTTTATGTTATTGGTAAGGCTTCTGGTCAATAGTAGGCTATTAGTAGTTAAGTTTTTGACAAGTCAAAAGTTATATGCAGATTTTCCACTGTGCGGAGGGGTTGGTGCCCCTAACCCTTGCACTGTTCAAGGTTCAAGTGTACATGGCTTCAAGGCAAAAACATTTATAGTATTGTTTCCTTGTTGCTGATGCAAAAGCAAAACATTTTGCCATGTTACTGTGTAAAATCTGTTTATATGGGCTGATCTGTAATTTGATCATAATCTATAATGATTTTATGGAAAAAAGCAAGCTCCTGGGGCGCCTGGGTGGCTCAGTTGGTTAAGCGACTGCCTTCGGCTCAGGTCATGATCCTGGAGTCCCTGGATCGAGTCCCGCATCGGGCTCCCTGCTCGGCGGGGAGCCTGCTTCTCCCTCTGGCCCTCCCCCATCTCATGCTCTCTCTCTATCTCATTCTCTCTCTCAAATAAATAAAATCTTTAAAAAAAAAAAAAAAAAAGCAAGCTCCTATTCCAAACTTACATCAGTTTGTATGTTGGGGACTTGTAAATACTATTATTTTTATAGCACTTTAAATTTTTTATGCAGCATACAAAAGAATTATTTTTGCTCTTCACTACAATCCTATGTGTGAGGGAGGGCAAGTGTCAATCCAGCAGGCTGAGAAATAAAAAGTAGGAAGGAAAATGGGGATTTACATAAGCAACAGAATAACCAACTCACTCCTACATTACTCTGCAGACAAATCCAAATTTTCCAAAAATATGAGAACTCTTCACTTTAGAAATTTCTTTAGAAATTGAATATACTGTCCAAAGAGAACTAGGCCAGAATCTTGCCCAAAAGGAAAGCTTTCCTCATCCTTCCTGTGGACAGAACTTTCGGCCCAAGGGCTGGCTCCCCCCCACACACACCCTGCCAATTATTAGAGGCCCAATTCTAGAGGTCCCAATTAACCAAGACTTACCAAACACATCAGAAAAATCTTCAATATCAAAGGAAAAAGTTCAAGAAAAACCAACAGAAAAACTGACTCCAGAGTAACACAGAATTTTAAAAAAGGGTAAGGGTGGGGAAGGAAACAGAATGTTTCAATTTATTACCCTCAAAAAGATTGGAGATAATAAAAAGCTCACTAGATAACCAAAGGTGAGAATAAAAAACCTCTTAGAGTATAAAGGAGAAAGATGCTCAATATACAAAAGAGAAGAGAGAAGAAACAAGATGATCAATCTAGAGGATCAAAGCTCCAACTAATGGCCATTTCAGAATTAGGAGAAACAAAAATGGGGAAAAGCCCATTAAGTACCAACTCAAGATAAAGGGAGGGCATAATGCTAACGAATTATGAAGTACTAAATGTTCCCAATGCAAGTGATCACTAACTACAGACTGCATTAGAATGCTTTGTGTCTTGCCAGCTTTATCACCACCAAGTGGTGCTTTAACAAAGAAAGAGGACTGCCAGGATAGCCAATTTATCCAGTTTAGTGAGGTAATGGATACATGCATCCTTTCTTTTATTTTTTTATTTTTGTTAAACATGTATTCTTTCAGTTACCTCAAAATTTATCAATTTTTGATTTAAAAATCTAAGTGTTTAACATACGGAATAGAAAAAAATATATACCCTTTATATATTAATAATTTCTACCTAGATGAAAAATTCATCCTGATCCACACCTTATTCAAAGTATTACTAATAAGCAATTTTTGCTTCAGCTTTTCTAATAGGATTACTTAAGCATTCTAGGCTTTTCTTTTTTCTTATTAGGAAAAATTTCAAATAGGCAGAGAAGTAGACACAACTGTATAATGAACACCCACATCACCTATACTTAATGACTTAATATTATGCAGTATTTGTGCCCTCCCACAGAATAATTTTAAAGTAAGTTACATACATTAGTTCATTACGTGGCTATAAAAAGGATATTTTTTTGCATACCAGAACACTTTTATAAAAGTGTTATATACTAGCTGTGACTCAATTTCACAAGGAGTGAATTGGAGCGTCTACTTCACCTTGTATACCTTAAGTGGCCTTCTGTCAAAGTCTATTTGAGAATTCTTGACATGATACAGGTTTCACACTAAAGTTTACTTCTCCAGTTCCCATTAGGACAAATTATCTTAATTACCTTAGATTTCACAAAATGTCAGTATTACTAACTAGGAGTAACTCTGCTATGTAAAAATAAAGCAGATCTATTATAAAGCCACAGTTTTATACTGGCAGTTCATGCAAACAATTCACTTTCCAATAACCCGTACTGGAAGAACCAAAGCCAATCACTTATTCTGTTTTCAAGTAAGAAAGCACAACTCTTATTTCAGGAGCATGATAAACTTACGAAAAATCCTCAGGGATTAAAAACCGTTCTAAGTAATATTTGCTTTGTAAATCTAAAAGCACAAACATAATGCATTTTTTTTTTGTGGCTGTTGAATTTTTTTTTATTTTTATTATGTTAATCACCATACATCATTAGTTTTTGATGTAGTGTTCCATGATTCATTGTTTGTGCATAACACCCAGTGCTCCATGCAGAACGTGCCCTCTTTAATACCCATCACCAGGCTAACCCATCCTCCCACCCCCTTCCCCTCTAGAACCCTCAGTTTGTTTTGCAGAGTCCATCGTCTCTCATGATTCGTCTCCCCCTCTGATGTCCCCTTCATTCTTCCCCTCCTATCTTTTTTTTTTAACATATATTGCATTATTTGTTTCAGAGGTACAGATCTGTGATTCAACAGTCTTGCACAATTCACAGCGCTCACCATAGCACACACCCTCCCCAGTGTCCATCACCCAGTCACCCCATCCCTCCCACCCCACCCCCCACTCCAGCAACCCTCAGTTTGTTTCCTGAGAAACATAATGCATTTTTATTAACCATCCCTACTAATACCTTGCCAGTTAAAAAATTTACAGTCTCCCCAAATTTTCCTGTTTGGGCACTTTTCATTCATCAGTAACACTTTTAAATCACAACTCACTCTAGTTTCCTTCTTACTTTTACTCCTCAGCTATGTCTTTGTGTATTCTGAGAGGAATCTCCCTTTACCAGCCGATAAAAAACAAATACCTAATGACACTTTTGCTCCTCCAAAACGCCTAACATTAATGCCCTTTGTATTATCTTTAAATACATAGGTGAAAAAATCGCTACTAGAATATGAACTGTGACTAAGAAAAATTAGGACATTTCCCAAATGATCTCTCTCTCTCCCTCCTTCATTTTATTGTCTTCCCTATTCTCTACCCTACCTATAAAGTAAAACATATATATGCTTAGTATAAAATGATATTTTTCCTTATCGTTCCCATCATAATGAAACACAGTTAATGACGTTTTGGTATATTCAGTATTTTATTAAATTTACTATCGGTATTCTTTTAATATAAACATACAAAAACCAATTCCTTGTATTGTAGACCC